TGGGTATGGAGGACTCAGGGGCCCCCGTCTCGGCCATCTGCCGGCCAGCTCGCTGCACCAGGCTCCTGACATCGGCCTTCATCTCCAGCAGCGAGGCTTCATCCAGCGGCACATCTGCAGCGAACGGGCTGGCTGCCTTCTCCTCTTTCACCCACTGCCCTTCCAGCTTCCTCTTGCCCAGCAGCGCCGGACAGCTGGCACAGACCTCCTCTGCAGACATCCACATCGAGATGTTCTCCGGCTTGGTCTCTGCAGAGGAGGCACTGTTGCCTCCCGCTGCTTTCTCTTCCAAGCTGACGATACTCCACTGGATCAGGTACTCAGGCTGGCCGTCGTGGCCTCGCCGCTGCCGCAGCAGCTCCCCTGGGTAGGCCTGCAGTTTGGGTCCCAGGTGCACAAGCAGGTTGCCATTATGCCTCTCGTTCACCATGACAGGAAAAGTGTCTGCAGAGACAGAGGGGAAGCGGGAGCTGAGGAGAAGTGGCGGAGGCAGGGGCTTTGCCACAGCTAGAAATTTATGACCTAGTGGGTCGCAGTGCTTGTAACGTGGCAGCGTAACAAATAAAATGTGCTGTCGTACTGGCTGTACTCAAGGTCAACGTTGTTTTGTAACACAACAAAACTACTGAAGTATGAGATATAGCTCACTTTCTCCTCGGAAAACAGCACGCACGCAGCAACAAGATAACAGGGCAGGACACAGTGGTTTTTGGACTGTTAAACATGCTGTGGGCATGGCAGGAAGGCGGAGGGCAGTGCCCGAGGAGGGCAGCTTTTGCCTGGACGCTCGGCTGTAAAACCCGGCTGCGTGCTGCGGGGGGTCCCCGAACCAGGTGGAGCACATACGCTGTCCCTGAGCGCCAGCGCAAGGCCGTGCTGGAGGGGCTCCGCTGCACATAGCCCAGCCGGGACTGGAAGCACAGCCCAGGTACGGCGGCCGCCCCCGTTCCTGGGACACGCACACTGAAGGCGGGCAGCACGGCACCGCAATTACCGGGGAGCGGGCTCACGTGGGCAGGTCCCACTGGGAACAGGAATAAAGCGTGGGCCAAGCGAGAGCTCCCCGAGCAACGAGAAGAGTCCGGCCCGGCCGCCGCAGCCCCTCGCACGGCGAGTCGGGCTGCTTCCCCTCGGGGCTCCCGTACCGCGGCAC